CTCCGCTGCCCTTCTCTGGACACGCTCCAGCCCCCCCAGCTCCTTCGCGCAGGGAGGGGCCCAACCCTGACCCCAGCACTCGAGGGGCGGCCCCCCCAGTGCCCAGCACAGGGGAAAGATGACTAAAAGCTCACAAACCACAGGCTGACGGCACCACGCAGGGGTTCCCTGGCGTGTGACAAAATGTCAGTTCTGCTCCCAACAGCCATATCCTTACCTGGTCTCTGTGGAGCGGCACTAGTTCTACAGATCCGTTATTTGGGGTTGGCACAACTTTAGCCAATGTGGCTTTCTTAGGACAAGGTTCCTGAAACCCAAACAAGACACACTTTGTAAAGCGGATCACCGGGCCCAAGTTTCAACAAGTCAGGAGGAATCCTTGCCGGATCATGTTAAGACAGGCGGAGAAAAGAGCTCTTTGCAGCCGGGTGCTTTTGCGGAGCCGTTGTTGGAATCAAAGCCATTCTGATTATCGCAATCTATCCCCAAAATCGTACCCCACCACCAAAGGAAGGCCATCCAGTGCTTCCTGTGCAGATAAGATATATATCGCTGCCAGCAAGGCAGGGTTATGACAGCAACTGCAATCAAGGCAAGCAGCCATCGTCAAAAGATGGAACAACCGCCATGAGCAAAGGCAGTCGGCCCCTGCCCTGAACGCTCAACCCGTCCCAGGCTGCGTGCGTGCCGAAAACGTCACTGGGCTCCCCGACATCGCTTTGGGGCTGGGGCTTGCTGAATGCACACACCTCTCCTCTCCCCCCTGCTGCCAGCCACGCTGGCCAAGCTAAAGGGAAAAGCGTCTCCATGCAAGGCGTCTCCTCACGCCCGTCATCCTCTTCCTCACGGCGCCTGCGGAGCTTCCCTGTGGGGCTGATGGCACGGTGCATGCAAAGCTTCCCTGTGGGGCTGATGGCACGGTGCATGCAAAGCTTCCCTATGGGGCTGATGGCACCCGCAAAAAACAACCCCCCCAGGAGAACGAACGCCCCCACGCCCTCAAACCGCCCCCACACGACAGAGGAA